TGCTCGCCCCGGGCCGGCGACGGCCCCGCGCAGACCCCTCTCCCGGGAGTTCTCTCTCGTCCTCGAGGCGAGCATCCTTAGGCTCCACACCCTCCCCTGGGGCAGTGAAAGGGGAGACCCACGCCCCGAGCCTCTGGGTGCCATGCGGCACCAATGCACCAAACTTCGCCACGTCCAGCAGTGTGTTCTTTGTAAAACGGTCCTGTCGATCTGCGGCGCCCGTGGCAGGCGTCCTGTGGGGAGAGTAGGTGCTTCTATTAGGAGGGCAGGGGGCTGCGTGTCGGGTGAAACGGGATAAAGCCCTCTCCACCGCCGCCAGGCTGCTCTGAAAGGGGAAAAGTTTTTAGAAAGTTGTGCCCGCGAGCCCATTGATTTGCTGGAGGGAAAAGGAGTCAGGAGCTGGGGAGGGAAGGCGCCAGGAAAACAGCCCAAGGGGCTAAAAGCGAGGGAAAGAAAGGATGTCGGTTCCGAGGGGGATTGGCAGCTGTCACCCATTCGCATTTCCAGCTTGGGATGTGCGATCGGGGGTTTTTGATCGGGATTTAGGTTTGTAAGCGGAGCAGGGTCTGAGGGGGAGATGGGTCTTTGTGTCAGTTCTCCCTCCCCTTTCCCTCTTGGCGTTCTGAATAGACCAGAAGAAACGTCAGATGTTTTTAAAATTCTTTATTTGAATTGAAAACCCACCTCCTCTGTCTCCCAGGGCGATTTTTATCTCCCTTTCAGCCCTCCAAGTCTAATCAGTGACCTTAGGTGACTTTCTGGGGTAAAACTTTGGAAAAAATATTTTTAGTCTGCTCATTATTTCTGTCTAAGTGTGGGCTAAATCACCCTTCTTCAAGGAAATTTGCTCGGGCTGCCCTCCCTCAGCCTTTTCTATGTGCGTATTAGAGGCTTCTATTGTTTTTCCTTCTGACTGCTTTGATTCTCACCATTTTGTCTTACATTTTTTCCCCAAGACCAATTTTATCCCTTCCCCCCTCTCCAGTCTCCTTACATTGTTGAACGTTTAAAATAATAGCACTCGTATTGATGGGGGAAGGGAGCAGGAAGCCCAAAACTCATTTCTTCTCCCTCCCCCTTCTGGCAAGTCTAGAGAAATAATATAACATAATATATAGATGTGATTCCTGGGGGTGGGGGTGGGGAATGATTGTGGGTGGTGCGGAAAATTCTGGTAGTTTCTTTGCAAAAGGTCTGAAGATACAAACCCACCCCCTGCGTGCAATACGCATGTGCAGCAGACCTATTATGGTGGTTCGTTGTGGGGGAGGGAAGGGAATTTGAGAAAAAAATAAATATATGTGTGAGAGATTGATGGTGAGATTAGGAGAGGGGCGGGCGGGAGGCGCGGCTTGCAGCGAGGCTCCTCCCGCTTTCGGGGCCGCCAGGCTCCGCCC